AATTTCCCTTTCAGATTTCTCATTGCTGGTGTATAGAAACCCAAGTGATTTTTGTTTGTTGACTTTGTAACCTGCAACTTTGCTAAATTCCTCTACTAGCTCTAGAAGTTTTCTTGTGTACTCTTTGGGGTGTTTTCTCTATATAGGATCATTGTTTTTTCAATTTTTGATAGCGTCCTTTAACACATACAAGTTTTTAATTTTGATGAAGTCTGGTTTTTCTATTTTTTCTTTGATTGCTTGTAGTTTTGATATCATATCTAAAAAAACTGTTGCTTAGTCCAAAATCATTCGTATTTTCATCTACATTTCCTTCTAAGAATCTTGTAGTTTTAGCTATTACATTTATGTCTTAGATTCATTTTGAGTTAAGTTTTGTATATGGTGTGCGGTAAGGGTCCAACTTCCTTTTTTTGTATGTGGATATGCAGTTGTCCCAGCACCATTTGTTGAAAAGACTATGCTTTCTCCATTGAATGGTCTTGGCACCTTTGTGAAAAATCAATTCACAATAAATATATGGGTTTATTTATGGACTCTCAATTCTGTTCCATTGGTCTATATGTCTATCCTTATGATGCTACCACACTATCTTTATTACTGTAGCTTGTAGAAAGTTTTGAAATCAGGAAGTGTGTACCAACTGGTCATTTATTTAAAAAAAAAAATTAAACCCATCATCCTAGCAGAATGTAAGTGCTGAAAGGTTGAAATAAAATATGCTTTTCAGTGTTAGAAAAAATGCTCAAAAGATAAGTCAGTTTTGTAAATATACATGGATGAAGATTTTTTTTTCACATTTATTTCTTTGCACAAAATGAGAGACTTAAAGTTTTGGGCAAGATGTGCTGAGAGAATCCTGCAGTTCGTGGTGAATATAGTGATTGTGTAACAAAGTGTTTCAGTTTTTCCATGATTTTTCACACATTGAGCAACTAATGGAATGTAGGAGATGCAGAGGGGTGAATTTTATTCACTATATTGCTGATTCTTTCCTTTGGTGTTTGATTCTCTACACTAAAGGAACAAAACGTAATACAAAGAAAAACCTTCCTCAACTCTACTTTCCCCTCTCACTGCCTAGAGTATCTTTTGCCTTTCCTTCACTGTTGAACTTCTTGGAATAGTCTTTACACTCTGTCTCCACTACAGCAGCATTTGATTTCCCCCTACTCTCCTTTGACTGGTCTTGTACCATCACCACTCCCCTGAATTGCCCTCTCAAAAGTCTCAAGCAGCTTTCTAGTTTCCCA